CACTTTCCCTTACCTGATCTACTTCTAAACAAATAGGGATAAGTAGGTTTAATTTCTATGCAAATTCAAAGCCTTGTTTGGATGACCACTAAGAAAAAGTGGCTATACAGGTTTAACTGAAAGCCTGCTGCGGAGCAGCCTGCTTCAATCCCACACTAATCCTGCTACCTCCAGCTTTTGGCAGGCACCCCCCACCATCACAACCACCAAATCATAGAAATACAGCAATCAGCTTGTAATTACATTGAAGGCACTGTCTTGTATAAAGGCTTTGCAGTTTAACCTTCTGCTCCTATCCTGTCTGCACGTGACCTTCCCAGATAACTAAATAAGTAGTTTATGGTCTGGGTCTGTATGCTCCCTAAAACCCTTAATTCCCAGCTCATCACAAACATATTCACAAACACAGTACCATTAAAGCTGAAGGAAATAAGAGCTTTTATCATGCACCAAACACTCTCAGCAGAAGAAGCTACCTCACTAGCTCTCAACTCCATTGGAAAAGTCTATGAACCTACAATGAAAACTAGACAATAATTCCTTAAAGTCTACATAAGGATACATGAAGTCTACATAAGGTACAAAAAAAAAGAGAAAGAGAGAGAGAGAGAGAGAGAGAGAGAGAGAGAGAGAGAAATACTGCATTACTAGCTAAATTAAGCAAAATTTTAGTGGAAACTTACTGCCTCTCATTAAATGAAATAATATTTCTATAGAACTTTTTTTTTTTAATAAAATATATACTGATCTCTTTAGGAAGGAGTTTAGAAACTCATATGCATCTGCTATACAGCTTTATTATAGCTATTCTTCTTAAGAAGTCTTTAACTTCTTTGCCCTTCTGTAAAATGTGTGTTGTCTGCTGCAGACACACAGTTGACCTCCCATTGACTTCTAAGTCTCTGAAAGGAGGGAATAAACACGTAGATCAAAAACAAGAACCCACTTAGGTAACAGGCTCGTTCGTGAATCAAGTCCCCCTCTCATCTTTCTGTCTCTCATAATGGCATTCACACAGCAGTTCTAAATTCAATAATTTTGCATTTGATAATGCAAAATTTATAACCTCCTATGGCACACTCCTAGTGCACTTATTAATCAGAGTTATTGCTATTTATAAAAGTAGTATCTGATAAAGCAAATAAAATTATTTTTAATAACCTGCTCAGTTAGTCATTTTATACTTAGGTGTATGCACTATATGCACAAAAACTGCAAGGTTCCAAAACATGTTTAGATTTGTTGCTTACTTAATACATGAGAGTATGAGCCACTTAGTCCACAACATTAAATTACTGTTTACATTAAAGAGTAATTTTACATTAGGGTCTATTTTTCCTTCAGAACTATTTCAGGAAAATACCAGTTTCCCTTCCCTCACAGTGTCCTCATAAGCATAATACCTGCACAGCTCACACCAAACCATTTTGCAAGAATCAGCTAATCATTATAATTAAAGAACATAAAATATTTCTTTACTTAATAAAATCCTATCAATCCAAGTTAATATTTCAAAAGGCACCAACCCGCATACAACTAGTTGAGAAATGTTGGGCGATGTCCCCTCACTACAACAACACCAGCCCAAGCACTAACAAAGTATTTGATTAAACATCAAAAAAAAAATCCATTTATTAAGAGGGACAAAGAATATCTGAGAACATCAGACAGATCTACGCAGCGGCAAGAGAAGCAGAGTCATATCACAGCCGAGTTCTTCCCCAGATTTTATGTACAAGGCTCTGCCTCATGTTTTCTTCTCAGTTTATCTCCTAAAGTTTGATTCCATATGAAGAAACTAAGTTTTAAATCCAAAATTGTCTTTGGATTCATTTTTTTTTTACTGACAGCAAAAAAAAAAAAAAGCTCCATAAAGCTTTCTTCATGAACAGGAAAGAAACAGGCCTGGGCTTACACTGACAAACACAGCTTGATTCATTATAGGATTCAAGCTCAAAGTAAAAGAGAGAAGATGAAGCATGTTTTCCACTTAGGATGAGATGAAATCAGTTGTTTTCAATGTGTAACCACCACACTAACTCAAAATATGAAAAAGTGTCTTAAGTTTCCAACAAGTAACTACAAAAGTAAAGAATTAAAATTACTTCTATCTAAATTATTTTTTTAAAAGAACACAAAGCATTTGCCTGTGAAAAAGAGCCTATACTTAAATAAGCTATTTCTTTCACATTCCATTAAGTACAAACAAGAGCCTCACAGTTTCAGATTTTATTTGATGTACAAATATTTTATAATAAATAAGATTCCAACTACAGTCTGAAAAGCACCTGGCTGTGAGCGAATATATAGTTTGATGTGGCTATTTATTTCCATATCTCATTTTTCCTAAAAGTCATATTATTTCCATATCTCATTTTTCCTAAAAGTCATACAGTAGGTTGGTCTTGCCAATTTTAAGTGTCACAAAATTTCGTAAACTTCTCTTCCTTTCAGCAACTTCAAATGTGAAAGTTTGAGATTACCCCAAAATGGTATTTACCTGAGAGAAAAGCCTAGCTATATCAACATCTAACAGCACTAAGACCACTGGTTATATAAGAGTGCATGTATCCATACAGTTAGGTCAGAAAGTCAAAGCATATAGCATGTTCTAGATCTACCTTGACTATTATTCTGAAATGTGAAAATGAAAGAGTCTCTTATCCATTTTTTTTTTCCTGTTGGTACAGAAGCGAGGTTAACCACATGCACACGCTAGCAGTACTCCAGACAAAGCTATCTCCACACTTTCAGGTCAGATTTTCCAGTTCAGACAAACTTCTAAAAGTCACTGAACGGCAATGCAAGTACTGCAAAATGCTAACCAGCTCCCCACTTAACTTTTTAAAGCTTTTACCATCATTAAAAGCTCTTAGTTAACAGCAACATTATCTTAAACAGCTGCACTTTCGTGTTATGTAGAGGATACTGCACAGTTTGAGACCGATTATGCAAAGATGCTGGTTAAAAAAAGGAGGGAGAGAAGGGAGGGGAGCAAAAGAAGAAAATACCAAATTGGCCTGGTCTGTTGGAACTTTCAGAGCAAGTGCTAAATAAAACCAGTCTCTTTAAACAAGAACTTTCAACAATAACATACCCAGGGGTTGCAGAGAATAAAAACCCTAGCCAACAAAGTTTAAGAAGATCAATGCCTTCTTAAGGGTGTCTTTTCAACCTACAAAATTTCTCTCCACAATTTTAAACTGAAAACAGGCCTCCCCTTGAAGCTAAATGGCTAACTGGGTTTTGTCAGCACCAGGAAACCCTGCAGCCCTTCCCTAGCAAGGCCCAAGCCCCAAGCAAATCTGAGGGCAGTTCTCAAAGAGGATGCATTTACACATTGCCCCAGGCCTCCCAGCTCCTACCGGCTCTGAAAGCAGCTGAGACCAGCCCACAAACAGGAAGGAGAGCAGCCACACACAGGTGACACGGACCAGTAGATCTAGCACTGCTGACCCTACTGCCACAGAGAACAGTGCAATAAAAGCAGACATACAAGAAGAGGACACATGAACAAGTAGGACAAACTCAGCAAAGGAAGGATTTTTCTAAACACTCCTTGCAGCAGCTGGAATTGAGAACTGTTCTCTTGCAGGTTTAGAGGAATCCAGATATCAAACAACCTCCACCACAGGATCTTCTGCTGGAAGGAAACGCAGAGTTCACATGGTTTGGAGAAGGATAGCACATCATGAAATTGTTTATATTGCTGGAAACCAATGCAACTGTGGAAATATTTGTGATATGTGGTTACTCCTGTGTATATCAGGAATGGTTATATTATATACAATAAGTCTAAGTTGTTGGGTTTTTTTAAATAAGAGAACCTACCAACATAGCTAGAAATACTGAGCAGAGTAGCTTCAAATGCCACAAGTCTATTTAGCTTTTGCTTTTTCCTGATGTTACATCTCCATGAGTCATAACACCAGCAGCTTATTCTTTGCCACAAAACTACTATTCGCTCAAGTAAGTCTTTCCATGAGCGTAATTCTTAAGCAAGTCCTGCCAAAAGATCAGCAAACAGTCTTACTCATTCTAGGACCATCAAGGGAAAAAAATCACGATGGCTCAYGATCTAGCCAATCTTGAAAGCCATCTGGAAACGGACGCAAACACAAGCAATGTACATGTGGCTAACAGAGCACATAACTGTTACTGGAAGAGTACAACAGGTTTTCTTTTGTACAATTATGATTTATTAAGTCACAAGAGAAAAAGAAAATAAAGCAGCAGATGGAAGGAATAACTCCTCATATGGATCTGTTCCTACAAGATCCGGGCTCAGAACAGGAACATTTACTTATAGGCACATGATAACACACGGGAACAAGGTTCCCACATGAAGCCAGGTCACTGCTTTTCCTCTTTTTTTTTTTTTCTCCCCCCAGGAAAGAACACACAGATTTCACTATGCCATGAATTAAAGACTAACTTGTAAGTGCTAAATTAGCATTAAAAAAAAGAAAAGTATCTTAAGTTCCTAATGATTTTTGAAATATTTGCTGAGCAATACCTTAGCAGATACAATAGCAGCTGGGTTTTCCTCCCCTCCTCTGAACCAGCAGGCTAGCTCATTAGCTCAACGCTATTTGGCAAATAACTGATAAACATCCGAGAAGCTCCCGGAGCCGTTAGGAAAACGCACAGGCCGTTTCCCTTCTCGCGCCGCATCATCCCCAGCGCCTCTCACAGCCGGACCCTGCTCGCGCCCTGGTTTAACCCCTTCCCCGGGGAAGGGTCCCCCACCCCGGGGCTGCTGCTGCCGCCGCCGCTCCCAGGCGCCGGGGCCGCCGCGCCGGCTCCGCACGCGCCGCCGCCCTCGCGTAGCCGCTACGGTCCCCGGCGCTGCCGTTAGCGGCGGCAGAGGCTGCCCCGGGGACCCCCCTTCCAGCCGCCACCCCCCGACGTAGGGGCGCAAGGGACCGGGCGCAGCGGGATGGCGGCCCCGTGCGGGAGGCGGCCGGCGCCCGCCGCGCCGGGCCGTGCCCGCGGCTCACCCAGAAGCGCTCGCTGCCGTCGGCGCTGCAGAGGCTCTCGACCCCCATGGGGCGCGGCGGCGGCGGCGCTGGCGGGGCTGCCCCAGCGCGCGGCGGGCCGGGCGGCGGCAGCGGCGGCGGCAGCGGGAGGGGGTTCGGGAGCGGCGGCGGCGGCGCTGATTGGCCCCGCGGTCACGGGGATGCCGCGCCGCGCCCCGCCCCGCGGCTCCCGCCCCGGCCGCGCGCCCCGCGACGCCCCGCGACGGCCGCCCCGCAGCGCGGGCCCCGGGCCTGGCCCCCCGAGCCCTCCACGAGCTCAGTTACCGCAGGAGGAGGAAACCCGGTGTCCGAGGCAGCGGGAGCCGGCGTCACCGTCACCTCAGCCCACACAGCGGCCTTAACGCCTTTGGTTCACAGCACTGCAAGAGAGCATCTAAACGTTAAAAGCTTGATTCCCCTGACCTATTTTTTAATATTTCAGTACTATTTAGTGCACTATTTTTATTTTWAACATTCATCACCTTGACCTGCACCCACCTCCTAAGCATATTGTCAGTTATTTTTTTAAACTTTTAGGCTTTCATGCTTACCATGACTCCCATTGAAAAAAATATAATATATATATATATATATATAATAGCCCCCAACGTACCCACGTGTATCCTACTGCTCTCTGCTGTTAGGCACACTTCTTTTTTAATTTTTTTTCCTTCTTCTCTGGGTTGTTCTGCAAAGCATGTAAACCTTAATAAAGCWATCCAGCAGCTTAAGCTGGAGGAGCTTTTCTTCTTTAATAGCACTATTAATAGCATAGTAAACTAGAAAAAATGCTGAAAAGACAACAGCCTGTTTCATAACAGCTTACACCTCAGTGAATGTTCTGAGTATGACAATAGGAAAGTTATAGCTGAAACGATACATCAGAAAATGATTTAGGATATAGAGATTTTAAGTAGGATGCTGTTCCAAACAAGACAGTAATCATGCTTTTCTGTGTGTTTTTTTTTTTTAATGACTTTCCTGCAGCCTCAACAGTCACTGTTCGAAGGGTGATGGCTGAGGGTAATGAAGTTTTCATTGTCCATCTTGGATCTGCACCTCCAGTTAGCTCTTTAACATCTCCTTCTCTCAGAAATACTACACAAACCATCAAACAAACAAAAAAAAACAACCRAAGTGCACTCAAGAGACAGAGCAGATAATTAAATATGAGAAGAGTGCAAAAGAAAAATATAAGAGAAACGGCCAAAAATACAAACCTGCGGAGAGATGGAGAGGCAGGACTCCAGATTACAAACCCATGATTTTACCAACCAACGTGTATCTTTTCAACCGCAGAGCAATACATAAAAGCAAAACTGGGGCCATATTACAAAAACATTCCTGTGTAACTAGAAAAAAATATCATTTGAGATTCTGAACTTTTCTGCACAAAGCAGTTTCTAATTTGGAAATAACACCTAAGTCACTCACAAATCCCAGGGAAGTGTGGAAGGAAGCAGAGAAGAGCACTCCAGCATGGTGCAGGGATGGGCTTTGCGGTACACACACATGGGCCTGGGCCATACACTTGCACTCATTASTGCTGCATTAAAGGATGAGATCAACTCATTTCTCCATTACTTCTGAGGATTTTTTTTTCCATTTATCCTTTCTTGCCAGATATTTACTTTSGAAACAGTATGTATTTGTTTTGAGAGGAAGGGGAAAAAAAAACAGCTACGAGTGAWTAATTGCTTAAGACAACTCACACTTTCCTTCCAGCCCAAGCTGCAGGCAGATCATGATAATTCCTGCTAGCTCACCCACGCGGACCTCGTTCCCTTTGGGAAATCTCGCAAACACCAAGGCCCTGCCCCAACAGCTCCCCGCACGCACACAACCCCCAAGCGGGCACAGCACCACTTCAACAGGCAGCGAAACACCCCCCAGGGGCTGCGCTGCAGCGGGCTCCCCGCACTGGGAGCCCCGCAGACGGCACACGGAGGCTCCGCAACCCCCGCCATGSAGCGGCCGCCACCGGCAGCCCCCTC